TTTTGGTATCTTAAAGCAGGAGTCCTCAGACTTTTTAAACAGGGGACCAGTTCACCTTCCCTTAGACCATTGGAGGGCCGGACTGCGGGCCCTGGGACAAGTAGGCTGCTAAGCAGGACAGGCAGTGGCAGCAAAAACATCCGGAGGGCTGCATGTGGCCTGCAAGCCGTAGTTTGAGGACACCTGTCATAAAGCATTTCAAGTCCAAGGGATGAGATTTGTTTCATGAGGCCCCAGAAGACAGAACTAGAACTATTTGGAGGAGGAGGAAGCATACTGGCTGAATAAGAGAGAGAACTTTTTGCGGTGAGAGCAGTCTGGAAATAACACCGTCTACCTTGTCCTCTGCCTGTCACTGAGGGCTTGTGGTGACAGAGATTTTACAACCAGGACTTTTGTGAAAGGAATTAAAGTTCGAGTGTGGACCCAGTTCCCTCACATCATAACTGGATGCACAGAATCTCCAGGAAGGTTCTGGACTGTTCACAGCTTGGGCCTTCCACTCCAAGCATCCTAACCATGTTCTTGTACTTGCCTGTGACATCTGAGAGGCCTGGGTTCTGCTGTTACTTACTGTTAGACTTCAGGCCAAGGGGGCTAATGTCCTCAAATAATTCATGTAGAATTCCCACTGTGTTGGCCGTACAGAGGACAGTGGTGTCTGTGCTGGTGACCTTGCTAGTGGCAGTGAGGACTGTAGTGGTGGCTCTGTTGCTGCTGACCTTAGGGATCTGCTATCCCCACCATGTTGTCTTTAGAAGGATTGAAGTCTACCTTGGTTTGTTCCTAATAATCAATCCCTTTGTTCTTCCAGGCCGCTGTGCTCGCTGTGGAGAAAATGTAGTTGGGGAAGGTACAGGATGCACTGCCATGGATCAGGTCTTCCACGTGGACTGTTTTACCTGCATCATCTGCAACAACAAGCTCAGGGGGCAGCCCTTCTATGCCGTGGAAAAGAAAGCCTACTGTGAGCCCTGCTACATTGTAAGTTCCACATTTGTTCCCAGAGTGCTTTGCAAAGATGTCTTCTGTGGCTGAATGCTCATCATTCCAGATAGAATGTAGCCAGACTTCCAAATGTGAAATGTGTGTGTGTGTGTGTGTGTGTGTGTGTGTGTGTAAGTTAGCCTATTGCTATGTTTCTTGTATATATTCCCATTCAAATGAGGTCAGAAAGATGCACTGGGGGTGGGACTGCCATTCAAATAGCTGGGATTGTCATCAGCCTGTGATTTTCAAGCCTGTAGGTACAAGCTTGTGTGTTCTTCCAGAAGCGTTGGAGGCTTCCTAGTAGCTGAGTCACACCTCTTGTTATTAGATTGTACCCTGCATTTGAAGTCCCAGTGTTTTCAGGGAAACTTTACAGGATCTCTGGACATGTCAGTGTCTTCCAAACTCCTGGACCGTTTGAATCACCTTTTATCTACCCAGAGTGCTGCTTCCTTGTCTTATCCAGCAGGTTTTCGGTGGTGCAAACAGAGAATTTTTACAGAGCATCTTAAAGGGAATTGAATAGGAAGATTGGCCGAGCTAAGAAGTTCTTTTACTAAAAAAACACAGCAACTGTATATTTTTTTTAGCAACTATATTTTAATAACATAGCTGAGTGACTAAAAAGTAGTCACATTATCTTAGATTTTGGTAAGGCTACTTAATATAGATATTAAGCTACTTTCTAATAGTGCCATTTGGTGAATATAAAACTTTTATTTTTAATCTAAAGTAACTTTCTTCGTTATCCTTCTGCGTGATTTTACTCCTTCTATTTAACACATGTTAGTGGGAAAGTACTACTTTCTTGCAAAACTGCAAAAGAGTCTGTCCCTCTGTACCCAGGGCTTTCAAATAAAGAAGTCTTGGTACCAGGTATGGAGAGTCATACATCGCTGTGCAGATTCCTAAGGTTCGAGTTTATTAAAGAAGTTTCTGGGGCGATGCCTATGGCTCAAAGGAGTAGGGCGTCGGCCTGATATACCAGAGATGGTGGGTTCAAACCTAGCCCCAGCCAAAAAAAAAAAAAAAAACTACAAAAAATAAGTTTCTGACCTAGTTGATATTCTCCACTAACATGACAGCTCTAACTCATTTTATCCCTGAGGTCTGTACCACAAATCTAAAAGTTCTTGAGGATTAAGAGTTTGGGCTGGGCATGGTGCCTCAAGCCTGTAATCCTGGCCCTCTGGGAGGCCAAGGCAGGTGGTTTGCTTGAGGTCAGAAGTTCTAGACCAGTGTGAGCAAGAGTGAGACCCCATCTCTACTAAAAATAGAAAAATTAGGGAGGCAGTGTGGCAGGCTCCTAGAGTCTCAGCTACTCGGGAGGCTGAGGCAAGAG